AGTTATGAATGATATGATAAATGCCTTCTGTTAAATCATGAGTTTTCTCCTTATTAGACGCTGATCATGGGAAATAGGGAAGATATTGACGAGATGTCGGCTGGTAATGCTAGCGTGCTCACAACAGTTATAAAGTTTATCGATAAATATGATCTATACGGTCAAGTTGCATATCCGAAACATCATAAGCAATCCGATGTTCCAGACATATATCGACTCGCAGCAAAAACAAAGGTTTATTCGAGATCATTAATCTACATTAGCATCCATAATCATACCATAACTGTGACATTAATAACTTGTTTTTCGAAACGATGCTAGGGTGTTTTCATTAATCCAGCACTGGTCGAACCGTTCGGACTTACCTTGATTGAGGTTGATTTTCTTTTCTCTGGTATCATTAAATGTATTAGATGATTTTTGTTGGATTGATGCCTTTGAATTAACGTAGGCTGCCGCACACGGGCTCCCGATGGTGGCAACTAAGAACGGCGGACCGGTTGACATTCACGAAGTAAAGAAAACCTGATCTCAAATCTTTATCATGAACTCATACTGTTACTTATACGATCTGATCTGAGTAACCATATGAACTTGTTTTTGTGATTATAGGCCCTACACAATGGTCTTCTTGTTGATCCTCATGATCAGCAAGCAATTTCTGATGCTTTGCTGAAATTACTATCAGAGAAGAACTTGTGGAATGACTGTAGGAAAAATGGTTTGAAGAACATACACCTGTTCTCCTGGCCAGCGCATTGCCGCACGTACATGACTCGAGTGGCAGCCTGTCGAATGAGGCACCCGCAGTGGCAAACCATCACCCCGGGCGACGAAATATCCACAGAGGAATCCTTCAATGATTCTCTTAAGGATGTACAAGATATGTCGCTTAGACTTTCGGTTGATGGAGAAAAAACATCGCTGAATGCCTCGGTCGATGTAGCTGCATCCATTGATGACCCTGATTTGCAGGACCAAGTGAAGCGAGTTTTGAACAAGATAAAGAGGTCGGGGAACGAACAGGCAGACGTCGAAAAGGGGAATAAAATGCTGGAGAATATCCCTGGAAAGTATCCGGTTTTGAGACGACGTCGCAGGTTGATCGTTATAGCACTTGACTGCTATGACAGCAATGGTGCTCCAGAAAAGAAGATGATCAAGATATTGCAGGAGATTATTAAAGCTGGTAATCTCGACACTCAAGTTGCACGTGCTTCGGGTTTTGCTCTATCGACAGCAATGCCATTAGCAGAGACCACAGAATTCTTAAGGTCGGGAAAGATCCAACTAAACGAGTTTGATGCCTTGATCTGCAGCAGTGGCAGTGAGGTCTACTATCCAGGTTCTTATGAAGAAGATGGAAAACTATACCCTGATCCAGATTACGCAACGCATATCGATTATCGTTGGGGATGCGACGGTTTGAGGAAAACGATTCTTAAGTTACTGAATGCATCTGAGGACGATTCGGACAAATTTCGTAGTCCGGTTCAGGAGGATAGAACATCAAGTAATGCACATTGCATCTCTTACTTAATAAAGAATCCCAGTAAGGTAGGCCAAGGCTAACATCTTCAAATTGCAACATATGCAGCTTTACTTGAGATCACATGAACAGATTCATTTTCTTTTGGTCCTTTTCAGGCAATGAAAGTTGATGATTTGAGGCAGAAACTCCGGATGCGTGGGCTTCGGTGCCATCCAATGTATTGCCGAACGTCGACTCGAATGCAAATCGTTCCGTTGCTTGCATCAAGAGCTCAGGCTCTCAGGTTTAACAACACATGAATTCTTCACTCCATAACAAGTTCTAAACTTGTGCTCTTTCTTGTGCGAAATGATATTATAAATCTCAACTTTGTTCTTTCGGTATCAACTATAGGTATCTTTTCGTGCGATGGAGACTAAACCTTTCGAACATGTACGTATTTCTCGGGGAGGAAGGGGACACCGACTACGAAGAGATGATAGCGGGGACTCACAAGACGATAATCATGAAAGGAATGACGAGCAAGGGGTCGGAAGATCTGCTGAGGACATCAGGAAGCTATGCAAGAGATGACATAGTTCCAGGTGAGAGCCCACTGGTGACATTCGTTAATGGGGATGCAAATGCTGAAGAGATTGCAGGTGCTATTAAGAAAGTTTCATTATCTGCCTCCAAAATGTGAGCTTTCTTTATCACTGGCCATTTGCTTCATTCACCTTCCTTTTACTCTGCTTTCTTCTTCTTTTTTTCTTTTTTCCCTTTTTCTTTTTTCTCTTTGTACGGTGTTTATAGCTGTTGTGCTTAAGAACTTGCTATTGTTATTGAAGATTATATGTTCATTACCATTTCTCTTCTGTGGAGTTTTTATTGTGAATGGAAAATTTAATATATATATATATATATATAGACAGATGGATAGATTTATATATTTTTTTGTCTTTGAACAACTATTTTAGTTTTTGAACTTTAGTACCGAAACAATTTTGATTTTTTTACTCGTACACACTCTTTTTCGATGATTGAATTGTAGAAACTTCATGTTCTGCATACGTGATCTCTTATGAATTATTCTATGAAGTAAGTAACAAGGACGAATCCTAAAAGGACCTGTTTTCGTCTGGAAAATAGTATTCTCTTTTAAAATCAATTTAAGAAGTAGGTAACTTACCCAAGATTTACAGTTTTGAAATAGAATTCGGTCTCGAGGAATGTAGATGAATGTTGGGGCAATTATTCCAATTTTTGGTATGAATGTGATGTATTTCGGTTTTATATATTTTGCCTCTTAATATTTTTTATACCCTGTTAAAAGTAAAATAGAGATAAAGAACAAAAATTACTAAAATAAATTAAAAATGGTATAAATATGAAAGTTAAAAATAAGGATTAAAATATAATAATTTAAAATTTAAAAAACATAAAATATAATTTTAAAAATATTGTTGGAAATTTTGAGTCCTAAAATTCATGGGGCAAATAGATCAAAATGCCTATAACCGTAAAAGAACAATGAATTAGGTAATATTTAATAAATAATATAATCATAAAATAAAAATATAGATAATTATTTATTTATCTTATATTCACTAAATTTTGACTCAAATTATTAAACTATTTTTTTCTATTATTATTATTGATAACAAGCGTAAATAAATAAATTTTTTTTTTTACGTATTTCGATATGTGTTTTGAATAAAACCTAAACTAGAGCATGTTTCAAAATAATATTCAAAATAGTAATTTTATTGTAATGTATTTTTTTTCTAATTAATCTATAAAAATAAAATTTACATTATTATTTTAAATAAGAATTTTTTAATTTATAAATATGAATGATAGAACCGAACAAATCTAAATTTATTGTTAATATAGTTTTGCTTTCTATCCATAATTATTTGCATACTCATTTTTGTTAGGTCTATTTCATAATTATTTTGCAGGCTCCGTTAATATTAGAGCAATTATTTTATAATAGAATAAAAATAGTAAATAAATAATATCATATAAGTGGTAAATATATTCATTAATAAACGTAAAAATTCTATTAATATTACAATATTATTAATATGCGTAAAAAAATCATATTAATAATAATAAAAAAAAGGGAATATTAGTGCCTTCCTTGCAAGTTTCAATTAAATGTTAATATATCTATAAATTTTATAGTTTGGTGGATCCTATAATTATATTATTTTAATAATAAATATGAATATGTTTTATTCATCAATTTTGTTATAAAAAAAATTAATTGATTAATAAAATGTATACGTGTAATTATTTATAATTATACTTGTTATTATCATTTATTTCATTTAAAAAAGATGGTTACAATTAATTACCAAATCAATTGGTATATCATTTTAAATAATAAGTTAATCAGTAAAAATATTTATAAATTTTGTAATCCGTCTTAAAAATAACTTCAAATTTTAATTTTTTTAGTAATCTTCTAAATAAAAAAAAAAAATCTAAAAAAAATACGCCTACAAGTCCGGAGGAAAATAGTCAGTATTATTTAAAAAATACTCTTAAATTATTAAAGTGGTTAATTAAAAAATACGTTTAAAAAAATTACTTTTATAGTTAATATTTATTAAAAAAAAAACTTATGAAATTTTAAAAGTAACATTAATTCTCTGTAAAAGAGATTTAAAATAATTATTGCGATAAATTATGAATCATATTTATGTATCAATAACTCATAAATTATCTCTAAATATTTTTTTAAATGTTAATCATAAATATTTTTTAGACGTGATAAATAATATTTTTAAACTTTCTAAAAAAAATTATTTTTGAAATTCAAAATTAACCGTTAAAATATCCTGATTCTTTTAGTCCAAGGATAATTTTTGAGATGAAAGTAAGTTTTTTTTTTAAAAAAAATTAATTTAGCATAAATAATATCAAAAGATTTTAGGAAAAAAAAAAAAAAAAAAAAAAA